TCCTCATATATTTTCCCATATGGTTCTAGGGGATCTAATTTTTAGATCCCTTTGGGGGTCTGGGTAGTAACTTGTACTACCATGCCTTCACGACATGAGGAGCTCAAAGTATTGCAGCCTCGTGTCCCACATATTCGAAGTTTTTGTCCTAGCCAGTAAAATCCTTTCAAACCTCTGTGCAAAAACGGCTCTTGGTGCATGTTCAATTTTCTTCTCCATGTGGTTCTCCGTTCTTCGAAATCAATTCGGAGGCTCTGGGTTGCGACACATGCTTGGCGCGAAGCAGCATTGGCCAACAACTTGTTGGATCCAATGAAACACAAGCCTGAGCTCCAAATGCTGGGATGGAAGTCAGATGCGCTATAGTCTGAAATCCTTAAAAGGGAGTTATATAGGGGATTATATAGGGGAGTATTAAGGGGATACTCGGAGTTTAGACCATGACTATAGCGCAGATGGACCCGCATACGAGTTGCCACATATCATCATTTGAATCCTTCCTGCGCGTGCTCAGCTTTGGCATCCTGACTTAAACGCTGAGGGCCGTTTGCTTCTAAAATCCCTCAATGCCCAGCGTTTGCAGATGAAGACGTGCGGAACTCATGCACACCGCACTCCGCAGCCGCAAACCAGTACATATTCAAGCGCTTCTATGCAGCAGCAAGGTCCCCTTGTATACCCAAGTCCTCCTTTGTAGCACATCCAGCTTTACCTGCATGATCCCCTAGCCACTGAAACATCCCTTCATTTGGATCCTGGCTTCCTGACTTTCATCCCCAGATTGGTGGGGTACCTGGGAAGGGAGCATGGCCGAAGCAATGGAGCAAGCCACAGCCACTGCGCTGGTCGCCACGCTGGCGGCATCCCCGGAAGAAGCGACACAGGACGCCTTGCCGGGTTATGTTACATGTTCTATTCGGGATGGTTACTACCTGGACAGTGGCTTGCCTACCTTCTTTTTGGAACACGCATTGTGCCCCAAAAGGAAGGGAGATACTGGTTGAGGTTACTATCAATATCACTGCCTACCATCATGGCTCCTGTTTGCCATCAGAAGACTGTTGGTATGGATGTTACTGTGGCCGCCTGAATCGTACGTCGGGCTTGTTTCTGCGGGAGCCTTGTTTAGCGGCCGCTCGCGTTCTCAAGCTCGGGCGTTCATCCTAAGGTTAATGTCGAAGCCTAAACAAGTACCAATAGTGATAGTTCCCCTTTCATCAGTAAAAGACTATACAATACATCCAAAGCCCTTGTACGGTTCTTGAGGCCCCGCATTAAGGGCCTCGTTGCTTGGCTTTGTTCTCGGTTTCAGCTCCATGTGCCAGAGGGCCAATGCAGCGGGCTAAGCAAAGCAAGTAAGCGCGAATAGGGCTTTGGCCTAATCATGGATACTTTCTTGTACACATACATGTACCTTTTACAAAACAGTACTAAACCGGGTGTACACGGTGTATTCATTCCAATCGGGTGGACAGGGTTTTGTTACAAGGCGAGGGGACTTTGCTCCCCCCCTGACCCTCATCCCTAAACCCTTCATCCTAAATCCTAAGCCCTAATCCCTAAACCCAAAACCCTTCATCCTAAATCCCAATCCCTAATCCCTAAAGCCTAAACCCTAAATCCTAAGCCCTAAATCCCTAAACCCTAAACCCTTTACATACTCCTTTTATTCCTGAGGGCCCCCGTGCCTTGATCCCAGGACTGTGCCATCTGCTTCCAACCCATGGAGGAGTCTTGCGAGCTTCAGAAGCTCTCCTGTGGGCACAGGCAGGGTTTTAGGGTTGAGAGCTTAGGGTTTAGGGTTTTAGGGTTGAAGGTTTAGGGATTATAGGGTTTAGGTTTTGGGGTTTACGGTTTAGCGTTCAGGGTTTAGGGTTTCCGGCTTAAGGTTTAGGGTTCCGGGTTGAGGGTTTAGGGCTTAGGGGTTAGGGTTTGGGGTTGAGGGTTGAGGGCTTAGGGATTCGGGTCTTAGGGTTCAGTGGGGTTTATTTGGGGATTAAAGGGAGTTATATACAATTTCGTAGAGATTAGGGATAGTATCCCAGTATTGAAGAATCAAATGGAAAAGACTTGGAAGCCAAGGTTTCAGGTTCAGTGGTAGTCCCCCGAATATCGGGAACCAAATGTAAAAGAAAATTGAACGAATCGGAAAGAATACCACATTATACTTATTGTCTCGTATTATTTCTTCAAGGTTTACGGCCGAGGACAGAATCCTGCATGGACCCAAGTCTAGTATGTTGACCTTTATCCCTAAACCCTGAACCGTAGAGACCCTAATCTCTGCACCCTTCAGGTTTCACCACGCCTGCATCTCGGAATGGCTCATTCGCAAGTCTTCCTGTCCGCTCTGCAAGCAGGCGTCCTCCTGCATTTAGGGTTTAGGGCTTCAGCCCCATGATTCTCCAGTAAACAGGTTTAGTAAAGGTTAGCTGAAGTTGATTGGTACTACAAGGGGGTGGGCTAGGAGAACCCTAAACCCTAAACCGCTAGATGGAAAGAAACCTGAGCGAGGACTGCTGAGCTAAGGGTTTAGGTGTTTTGGTGTCAGGGCCTATTTGGGGGGTCACGGGGACTTCGTAAGTATACTTATAACCCCGATAGCCCATATAATAACCCTTAACCTATTCAGCAAGTATACTTATATCCCCCAGAACCCATACAATAACCCCAATTATTCCAGTTATGAACCTACTTAGTAGGTTCCCCTGACACTCTGAGTAAGATGCATAGAGAGCCTCGGCTTCGGCCCTTAAGATCCCGGAACCCTAATCCGTAAACTCTGGACCCCTAAACCCTGAACCCTAACCCCGAAACGTTAAAGCCGAACCCCTAACCCCTAAACCCTGAACACCTGAACCGCGATCGCAACCAGCTAATCACTGTCGCTAGACCCTACACCCATTCAATAGTAACAGCGCTTAGGGCTCCAACCCTGATGCTGTAGAAAATCAGGGTTCCAAGAAACGTCCAAATATAAACCTCAATATGAGCTGTAGTCTAACCTCCTTAGCGGGGACTATGTAGGGGACTATTCTAGGGGTTATTAAGGGGGATACTAGGAGTTTAGACTATGGCTCATATGTAAAACATTAACATACGGACTCCGAACAAGGGCCCCTCATCCTTGAACACCTCATTCTTCAACACATCAGACCTATAAGCTCCAAGACCCAGACCCCACCTTTCCGCATGTTTCCGTATACAAGCCTTTGTGCTTATATACATACATCCCTATACCTGTACAAATGTAAAGCTGCGCAAGGAGAGTCCAGGTGCCGAGCCCGAAAAGGAGCCTTTTCATATCGATATGGGCCACCAGGACGAGTCCGGCCGTATCAGGGACTGTTCCTTTGGGTTTGTACCCTTGGGTTTGGGTCCCTAAACCATGGAATCTGGCCCTTAATTAGGTTATTTGGGACCGAAACTTTAGGCCTACAAACGTTAAGAGTACAAACTTAAAGTCTTTGACCGTAGGGGGTTTAGGGTTTCGGGGTTCTGTAGGGATCTAGGGGTCTAGGCGAACCCGACAAATCAGGATTCCCTTTTTTGGGCGCATCGAATAATGAGTACAGTACTCTTGTGGAGTATGTAAGGGGACCCTGACTTTTAGAACTTGGTATATAGGAGTTGATCACACTGATCCCTAGATAGTCCTAAAGGGAAGCCCCCATAATTCATTTTTGATCTGTGCATATGCCTAGGCTACCTCTTTAGGGAAGCCCCCATAATTCATTTTTGATCTGTGCATATGCCTAGGCTACCTCCGTCGTGAGAAAGTCCTGTGTTGACATGAAGTAGCGTTTTTGGTATGGTTTTTGTCAATGTATACAGGGTTCCTTAGGAATCGTGGTCCGTGGTCCGTGTATATATCGGGTATCCAATTTGACCGCAAAACAAGCCATTGGTCATATGACACCCAGCCGAGTTGCCAAAGATCCAGGGGTTTGGTACCAGGGAGTTTCACAGAATCGGGGTCTCTTTTTTTGGATCCTTATACCCGAAGCAATCTGCATCATGTTGGTGTCAAGTTATTTTCGCAGCTTGGTTGAGGATGCGGGGGTTTAAAAAACACAGTTTGTTTTATGAGGATCTATCAGGTTTAGGGTTTCCAAACATTGGGGTGCCTTCTTACTCTCGGGGTGCCTAGGGTGCCTAGAGTAGTAAGTATGCTGCAGGGTCATGGCTTGTGCTTTGGAGTTTTGGGCAGGGATGCTTAGGGAGGCAGTTTGCATTCCATGTTGACAAGTCAGCGGAGGGATTTTGCGATTCATGGGCAAGCAATTTCTGCATACCATTGGGGAAGACCTTAAACCCTAAACCGCGATTTTGAGCCGTAATCCTTGCGGTCGTTGAGGACGCACCTGAAAGGACGCCACCAGCCCTTTAAAGCCAACAACTTAACATACTCACAAGATAGGAGGAGCGACGACATGCTTCAGTGCGAAACAAAACCTGCCATGGACAGGAGATGGCATCGTTCGTGAATGAGCTGGAAGATATCTTCAAGGCCATTCATGCTGGCATCCGCAGCTTGTCAGCATGGCTACTCGTCTTACTGACACTGTTTATCCCGTAGCTGGTTCAATACCATCGCACAGAGCAGTTGCAATAGTAATATGTACCTGCATCCCAGGGGATAGGTCTGACCGGTACTTTTGTAGGAGCTTTTGCATGGTTTGCGAAGGGTTCGACATTTGCTGCTGCAAGGGATGGGTGGCCACTTCTTAAGCCTTAGCTGGTCTTTGGTTGGCTGGGAATGAAGGAATGCAAAAGAAGATGGAAACTATTTTAATGGGTGGACTACTATATGGATCCTTTTCTTCAGTCCTAGCTAACCAAAGGCCAGCTAAGCCCCTTTCACATGTGTCCGTCCTTGATGCTGAATAGCTGTAGCCCAGGAGAAGACTATGCCGTTGCCCTGCCAGCCATCACCTACAACCTTTGCGTCAGCTTGGGTTACGAGGACGAGGATGAGCTTGAAGAGGCCTTCATGACTAGTAGTAATAATGGTAGTAAGAACAATTATATGGTTTCATGATAGCAAGAATTGTAGTCGTAATAGTATTCAGTTGAATAGTACTAAGAATGGTAGGAGGTTGTGGATTTACATCTGGAATGCTAAAGCCCTAGAAAAGTTAATCTCGAGAAGGCCTTGGGCGGTCCGCTGGTCCAGTTCCTCGATGCTTTGCACCTCGGCCCGCTTCCAGGTTCCTGGGGTGACACTTCTCTTTTGTCATTTTGAGATCATGGGTTTTCTACGCTGCATATTGGTTTTTTGAGGTGTAGAGATCGAGAATCGAAAAGAGGAATATGAAATGGAAACTGGTGTTACGGGATTATATTGTCTAAGGCTACGGCTTGGTATGTAGGAGTTATATAGGGGTATAATGGATATTCAAAGCAGCAGACATTCCCACAAGGTAAACAAGAAGGGGAGTGGCAAGAAAGGAAGAGACCATAAGCAAAAACCTGGCGTTCTCAAGCTACCAAGGGCAGAATCGCACTTCCATGGTTCGCCGTAAGCGCAGTAAGCTTGGGGGTTAAAGCACCGTAAGCGCGCGGTAAGCCCGTTGCATCAAGAAGGGTCACCGCAAGCTAGGCTGCCATAAGTACATGCCTTAATGTAGACCCATGATTAATAACCCCCCTCCGTTTAAGGGCCTTAATATAAGGATCCCCTTTGTAACCCTTATTATGGGGAGGGTGGATATTAATCAGGGCTCTACATTACTATGAAAGAAAGCAATAAAAGCTTTGAACCTTGCCCAAATGTAACATGAAATGGAAACAGGCCTTTATGGGGTTATATAGGGCCATTTAGGGGTTGGGCCCGGGTTAAGGTTATGCTCCCTTGTTGTTGGTAGGGAATGCAGGAATGGAACAGAAAACGGAAGCTATTGTTTGGGATTACCTAGACCCCAAAAGTAGGTGAAACATGGCCTTTATGGCTGTTGTTATGGATTTGAGGGCTATTTCGTTACATACTTTTGGGGTGTAGGTAGGGCCCGTGGAATGCAACAGAAAATGGAAGATTGCTATGTCCTTGGACAGGGACTTGCCGCTTTGGGTTGAGGTGAAACTGGAGGATGGGAGAATACAAGGCCAATTGCGCCCTAAACCCTAAACCCTAACTTCACCCGAGCTCACTTCAAATGATGGCTTAATTAGAGAGAATGGTCCCGCACTGGCATTCTTCCAGATTTGGTTTTGGGTTCATCCGAAAATTGGGTGCCCCTTCTGAGGGGAGAGCCTTCAATACAGATTACAGATTATGGTGTATTGAGAGGTATATTGTGGTTCCCCCTCCTTCTAGAAACTCCCAAATCAGTTGAGCCATAGTTTAAGCTCCTTAACGGGGGCTATATAGGGGACCATAAAAATGGCCAATAAGGGGGATACTAGGAGTTTAGACTATAGCTCAGATGTTGTTGGGTTTTAGTATTGTTTACCGGTGAGTCTATGTAAAGTTCTGTAGGCATTGGCGAGCGTATATGGGCACGTGCCCAAACGATTGGCTTGTAACAGGGCCCTTGGCCCGCACCCGTTACATACCCCGTTACATAGGGTATGTAACAGAGGGAGTTTTCGCGACATACCCAAAGATTTCTGTCCTGCGGAAGACATGAAGGCTGCGCGACAAGGGGTAT